TTAGATCCTGTAAATGCCATGTTTTTGAACTGTTTGTGTTCGAGCATATTTTTGGAAAATAGCAGAGTTTACTTTCCCTTTTTATCAACGGACTGCTTATAGTGGAGTAGTATACCAATGATGCTTGGTTCTGTTTTTTTGATTCGGCACGATCGAACAATTTTGCGCGATAATGTATGTTTCCCTAAGATCAAAACAAAGACTTGATGTCTCTTGTTCTATCAGCATCTAAATTATAAAATCACTGGCAACAGACAAGTCTAATTGTTAATGATTTGAAACAGTCTTGGTCTTTATCTTCGGTCTAGCGTCTTTTGTAGCTCGTTTGTAAAATACAACTTCGATTTATTTGTTGAATAAGACAATATGTTGTTGTGGAATTTTTGTTTGCGCTCAATTTTATGAATGGCACGCGTTTTTACTTCAAAACTACAAGTAAAATTGTCGTCACAATTTTATTCTTGATCTAGCATAACCAGAGAAGAAACGTTCCGTAAATTCTATCGAAATATCCTTTATCTAAACCCATTTCGCTTGTTAACCTCGCTAAATTCGGAGCCTTGGACGTGACAGAGAAGATGGAGAAAGTCACGCGTTAAAAACAATAGAATTTTGACAGTTGAGAGTAATTTGCATAACCTCAGAGCGCACATGGAGAAAGTCACGCGTTAAAAACAATAGAATTTTGACAGTTGAAAGTAATTTCTAGGTTAGGGCTTAAAAGCCCTAACCTAGAACTCTCAACACCCACAGAATCACGCCATATCACGTGTCTTCTGGGGGGCAAGAGTCCAAGTGTCAAGTTGATGTCTCGCAAAGAAAATAAAGGATTGGCCAAAACAAACCTCTTACGGCATGGACAGAACCATGCAAAAATTACAGCATATCGGATCTATAAAAGATCTACGGCCCCAAAATACATAAAGTATAAACCATCATTAACCACAAAGGGCTGCAAAGGACCGCAGACGAATATGCCGAACGTAGGATCTATAAAGACCTGATCAGCAAAAATAATGAGTAGACATATATGTCTACTTATTATTTTTGCTGATCAGGTCTTTATAGATCCTACGTTCGGCATATTCGTTTGCGGTCCTTTGCGGTCCTTTGTGGTTAATGTTTGTACACTTAAAGAACTCATTGTCCTTAACATTTGAAAGTATAAATATTGTGTTAATAAGTCACGTGCTACGTTACGTGACCAATTTGGTAAAAACTGTAAATTATTGACCAATTGGTGGCCGGTTTAAGAAAAGAAATCGAGCAGTAACATTTTTCTAATTCATATTAAATATTTCTAACACTTCACGTTTGGAAAGACCGTCCATTGCACTTAAATGAAAAATTATGAGGGAAAACATCCCTTTAAATGCCTAGATTTAATCTTGAATTATTCAAAACTTTAATTTTAAACTTCGCGTACATTCTTTCATTCCAAACGTAAAAAGTTAGGTATGTTTATCCTCTTTTAGACATACCAATTTGTTTATCCAAACAAATTAAATTCGCCACCAATTCGCCAATTTCTTCGTTTTCAATTACTGGTTGTCATGTGACCATAATTAAACGTAAGGCACAAGAAAACCTCACGATTTACTTTTGGGGAAAAATTCATTTTGTTCTAAGTCTCCTAGCAAGAGATGTTGCCAATCATTCATATTCTCAGAACACGCCTTTGACCCAGGCCTTAAACCCCTTAAGTGATTTCCGGACAGACACTTCACTTTCTTTTTCATAAACTTCCTGTTTACCGAGAATCGGTTCCAGGTGCAGGACGGACAACGGGGTAATTCTCAAAACTCAAAGCCCATTTTTTCAAGGTACTGGTATATAATGAATAACAACTAAAAGCCTCAAATATGAAATATTGGAGCGGTCTTCAACCCTTGACTGAAGAGAATTCTTCTGGAGTGAGCCAACAGGATATAAACAGTACCACGTTTGCTTCTCAGGTCATCGTCGCATCATATTCGACGCTATTTTACATGGTGCTTCTTATTTTGAGCATACTCGGCATCTATTATAAGCCGTGCCTCAAGATCTTTACATCTCAAGCTAACTTAATGCTCTTTCTTATCGGGGTTCTGCTGGTTTTTTTGAACATATTTGCAGTTGAAGACCAACTCGAGGTCAAGACCTACTTCCGTGTCGCCACAGGCTTTATCATTGGAATAGCATTCACGATCTCTGGTGCATTCCTCTTCTTTACAAAAGCAGATGATAATAACAATCATTGTACCCTTGAGCGACAGCAGCCTTCAATGGGACTCGTGGTTGCAACAATAACGATTCCACTTATCATCGCTGAAGTTTTTCTGATTGCTTCAACTTTCGGTTCAGAGAAACTGCAAGACCTATTCCCCAGGCGATATGATTGGGTCCTTACTATTTCAGACAAGTTAACTTTCCTTATTCAGAAGATTGTCCAAGCGATCGTTTACATTATTCTCAGATATAAAGTAACTTCTCAGCACCACAGAGAAAGTGCGCGGTTTTATTTTCAAATACTATCTTTTTTTAACTTCATCGAATGGGTAGATTCGCAAGTTAATGAGAACAATGATGTAAAGCTAAGTGGATCCAAAGAGATCTACGGTCCCTGGTTTGACGTATTTGCAATGTTTTACAAGGCTCTGATTATAGACTACCGCCTTTTGTGCTCGTTACTTTTCCTTGAGCATTCATTAGATGGCCAGGCTGAGGGAAATGATTCCACCACGAGAAGAGATTTAACTTTATCAGAGCGAAAATTGCAGAGCCTAGGATTTATGATCGGCTTCACCAGCTTGTCTGCACCGATTTGCTGCGCCCTCTATTATGTACCTAGGCTTCAAATCCCTCCATGGGTTCACGCATTCGCAGTTCTTGTAAACGTGGAAATCATTGTTTTTGGAACGCTTTTTCTCTGGAACAATAATTTGGTATCGGAGGAACAGAACAAAGGTTCATATGGAGTCAAAATTATGGTAGTAATGTAATAAAAACGCACTACAGTACAATTTAGAGCTTTGTATGTTATCAAAAAGCACTCAAGCGTCTCCCACGAACCGTCACGCACGCATCCAGTCTTGAACGCACGCGACCCGATTCATTATTTGATCCATTTGGTAATTATATTTTATTGCCTGCCAGCAAGCTTTCCATTTTGAACGATCTCCCGCGGCTTGCTTCGTTCACCAATGGAAATGGAGAGTTTGTTCTCTCTCATATTCGAGCGCTTAGCCAGACGAAGGGCATGACGGGGGATAAAGACATTGCGATCCGTCGGGTGTGTGTCCAATTGTTAGCAGACGTTCTTCATGAGGTCACGAGTCACTCGCGCCAGTGTGATTATACTGCGCCACTTTTGAAGTTCAAGATAGAACGCGAGATTCTTGTACTCGAAAGTTCGCGTTTTGGTAAGAATTATTGCTAATTTCCGATGTTGTGTTTAAATTGTTGGCCTAAAACCGAGGAAAATACTTCCGCTATATTCATTCGGCGTTTTCAGCGATGTAAACATCAGGGCCCAGTTGTTCGAAGGCCTATTAGCGCGTAACTCAGGGTTAAATTTAACCCGGGTTACATTTTCTTTTGTTCAAAAGCATTTTCTCGGGTATTATTCTCCGTTATTTTTAAGAGCATCCAATCATCAACTTGTTGACAAAAAGAATTAAACTGAGTTCACTTTTTAAGCTTTCATATTTGAATTCACATTTCACACTAACTCAGGGTTGTCTTAACCCAGCTTTCAACAACCCGGCCCAGGTAAACAGTCTAACTTTATTTTTGGACTCGAAAGGTTGACCCGGCTAGCTATAGCAGGTTACAGAACTAAAAGATGGCAAAATTTACGGGATTTACGTAAGCTTTACTCAATTTCTAGTCCATGCCAATCATCATCAAGTGAACTCACATCTTATTTAAGAGAGCTTTATCTTCTAGTAACTTTGAACGGCCGATCATTTCGACTGCATGGACTGTTATTTTCATTTTGTTTACAATGAAAAATATTTAAAGGCTTAAATGAAAATATTATGACTGCGTGTTTTTGTGCATTGTGCATCGGTTTGTCTTTGTGTATAAGCTTAACCTGAAAACGTTTTCTAGCGAGAGATCTGTGATATTTGGTGCAATCGACTTTGTCAATGAATAGCAAACTAAAACTTATTTTTGGTTAATGAAACTGCAAATAAAATTGACCGCTATCTAGCCTGCGTAGCATGGCGGTTTTGTCGAGCTGATTGATTTGTGTCTACACAATCAAATAGTACACGACAGCATTTCAAGATTGGCGTATAAATGTGAAAGATAAGAATGAGAGCCAACAATCTTTCTGAAATTCGAAATGCTATAAGTGAAGACATTTCAAATAGCAAAAGTAAACACAGACAAGAAGTCCGTGACTTGCGTTATACCAAAAACCGTTCATTGCTTAATCTTCGCTTTTCGCGCCACAAACGCCGTACTCGGTCCAGACCGGGCGCAACCTTCCAGACGTCCGTGACCTCGATTAAGAACGTCCGCTGCTTAAGCTCTCTATTAAGGTCTTTCACAAAGCTTGCGGATATTTGAAGAAAATTTGTTTTTTGTTATGCCTTCAAGAAGAGCCACAATAATGGAGAAACCGAGCTGTCAACAGCTACAAACCTAACTTTGTTGAGTTATATCGGTCTCTTCCTTAAATATGTCTTGCAGAGCTCAATTTTTGCGTGGTACGACCAGCCTTGCACCACCCTGAGTGCCAGAGACTTTTCATGCGCGGATTTCGGTTTCGGTTAAGTCTCCGCCTTCGGCCGAAGACCTTTCGCACGCGAGAAAAAAACCTCTGGTAGTCAGGGTAACCTTGCACATAAATGTTCTCACAAAAAACCTCGCCCTAGCTAAGTAGGGGTTGGTGAAAATAATTTGCCACGCGCTGACGTTTCTCTTGTTAACGTTCTTGATAGAAAAAAAATTCACATTTATCCATCACATCGTTTCTGACAGGTCTCTTGCCTAGGTGCGGTCGGATTCGCTTGTTGGATGATGAAGGCAACAATCGTTGCTTACTGGGCATGGGCTAGAACCGACATCAGTAGCCCAAGTTCTTACTTTGCCTGGGATGCAGCAAAGTTTAGCATTCGTGGAATCGCCGCAGCTTTTTTGGTGGGTCTGTTCCTCAAGGTGGATGCTCGAACCGTACCGATGGGAAATCTCAATGTCGCAATGAATCATTTTCTGGTGCCGACTGTGATGCTGACCATTTTTGGCACGTTTGTGGAAGCCCTGATTGATCAGTATGTTGGACCGATCGATAGAAAACTCAGGTTGGCAAAAGGATCAATTTACAACTATTTCTAATGCTTTTAGTTTGTAAATCTAGACAATGACAATTCCCAGAACAAATAAAACTCAGCTGAACATTACTTAACTCTAGAAACTTTTTTTATCTTAACTAGCATCAGGATGTTTTTCCGTTTTAGGAGTCAGGGGTTAAGGAAGCCGGAGGTTAAAAGGTTGAGTTGACTGAAAATAGTTTTTCCTTTTTTAGGGAAGAAGTCAAGGAATTGAGTCTCAACATTTTGTTTGACGCTGGTCCGCCCATGTATCTTGGATTTCTGATTCACGTGTTTTTACACTTTGTCATCATTCAGACAAAGATTGGTCAGCAGCTTCGTGCCTACGGCCCTTTACAACAGTTATAATAGGTCATGAACTTACTCATTTCTTGCTGTTTTCCGAAAACAAAGAAATGGAAGGCAAACGAATCAAGTAGGAGAAGAAGAAAAAAAAAGATAAAGAAGCCTAAGAAAAAATGACCGGTTTTAACAAACTCGCTTTTCGGGCAAAACGTAAGTTAAACATCACATCACTAACTGTCTTGGAATTTCCTTTTGATTAATCTATGTACAGTCTGTATGAAAATGTAGATAGCTTACTTTATCCAATGTTTATTATTATTGATTTTGTATATGAGTTTCTTTCCTTCCTCTCATATTTTCCTCTTTTTGTTACTGTCATTACTATTTCTTTAGCTGTTTGCCTATCAGTTTTTAATGTAGTTTTGCAACTAAAAAACCCTTTAGGGAGTAATACATCAGTCAATTCCAGCTGCGACTAGACCCCCCCCCCCCC